TTCAACAATGTTTACTTGTATAATGCAATCACATTGATCATATTCTTCACGTTGCTCAAACCATTTTACTTTCCTTTTTTGAGGTGTTCCATTCTCACTAACAAACTCACTGTCCTCTTAATTGTATCAGATTGTCTTAGCTATTTATTCTTTTTCCACTTTCTATTACAGTAAATTTAACTACTAGTTTTTTAAATTAATAACTATTGTAAAAGAAAAAACTAAATCGTTTCTATTTATATAAAATACAGAAAAAATTCTTAAAATAATTTGCATCACTAACTATGTAAACCAGTCTCTTTTGTAATTTTATTTCTATTTTTCTTCAATTGACCATATATACATGTTAAACCCAATCAATCACTATTATTTTACGTAAATTGGTTTGATAAACATCAGGATTTGTAGCAGAAATTTAGAAACTAACTCTTAAATATTTCTCTTGCCTTTTTTTTGTCAAACAATAGTGACTAGTGGATTCAAACCACTGACTTTGCTTAAAACTGAGTGCTTAACCACTGAACCACCAGGGATTCTTTGCCCTAGCAGTAAACTACAAACACTCTCCATATTCCACTGAAAGACAAAATATGGCAAGGATTTTTTCATATTTTCTTGACTATTTGGTTTTCATCTATGTTAATTATATTTGAAGCATTTTACTATGATTTCATTATTAATTATGTGAACATTTGTTATTCATTTCTAAGAGATTGGTATTTTAGATATTAACTATAAGTCAGTTGGGCATTGTAGATATATTTATTCTCTTTCTCTCCCTTTCTTTCTCTTGCTCCCTGCTCTCTTTACTGCTTTTTGTTGCTTTCATTTCAGTCAATGGTGTTTCCAACAAGTTTTCGTTAATTCTAATGCTGTCTAATTTACACTTTCCAACTATTTTATGTTATCTGTTTAAGAAATATGTTGCTATCACAATATATTCAAAGTTGTCTAGTTATCTTGAAACTTCCACATTTAAATCTGTAATCCACTTGAAGTTGTTTTATATATACACATATGGAGGGTGTTAGGAATATCCAGTTTTATTTTGTTTTGTTTGGTATTTTTCTTCATCTTGTATGTGTGCCATATTGCCTTAGTGTCAATTATTAAAATTCCTGCTATTTAACTTATCTTGGCCATAATTGTGTCTAAATATATGCGCATACATTTCTGTACACTTATTCATTGATTCTATTGTTTTTATTTTTTATTATGTATATAATACATTATCTTAAATATTGCAATTATATGCTTTGATAGACTAAATGTAAAATCTGAACCTTAGTCATCTGCAAGATATCTTGACTATTAATTTTCCTTACAGATTACATTGAAATTAATTACTAAGTACATTATTTTAATAAAAATATTATAGATATATTATTAAAAGTTTACTTATTTCATAATTTTATTAAAAATGCAAGGTAAATTCTCTAAAATATTGTATTTGTGTTAAGTTGGGTTGTCTAAAGACACAAACAGTGACACTATATATTCATAAAAGAACTTTATATAAAGAAGTACTCCCAGCCCTGTCCAACTCAAGTCCATGGGGCCAGTGCTAGGCAGAGACCTCCTCAGGCTCATGAAGCTGCAGGCCTGTGACACAGAAAGGTGAATGAGGGAGCAGGGAAATCACACGCTGGTGTATGCAAAGTTGGGTGGATCCAAAGTCAGTGGGAACATGGCAGGGTGCTTGCTGATAGCTCCAGGTTGGCCTCCAGGGTCAACATCCACATGGGCCCACCTCTGTAAGTACACACAGAATCACAGCTAGTAGGGAGGGTGAAGGGGCCAGAATAAGAGAAGTTCCCACAGGCTCTCTAAGAAAAAAAGCCACATCCCCAAGGAAGAGTCACCAGGCTACCACCTAATTCAGAGAATAGGCTCCAAACCTACCTCACACAGGTATTATAAACTTGGCATAAAATCTAATCACCACATTCTTGCTTAATAATTTAGATGAAATTTCTAATAATTGTATCACCTTTTCTGTCAAAATCATATAGAATTTAATCTACTTTTGTTTTATTTATAATTCAAATTTTCTAAAATTTAACTTAGTGATGAAAATGTAAATAATCTACATTATATGATCAAGAAAATTCAGCTTGGATACAAAATTTTCCATCTTAGCCAGGGCCATCTAAAAATACTCAAAATTATCTCCTATTATTATATAGAGTCTAGAACACCTACTGCATCCAAATCAAACTATAGGATATGATTATATATAGATGATAATACAGAAAACACAATTATTTTGTTTTAAACTGATGTTCTAGCATTAATAAAATGTAATTTTAGCATGTCAAATTAGACTTCAAATTAATAAACATTAATTTGAATAGTTTAGGTATTGATTTTACTATCCAAATTATTATTATTGCCAATTATTATTATCGTTGTCCAACACTAGTTGAGCTATTACACACTCAAATGTTCTCTTCATGAAATTCTCATGAGCTCCAAATCGGCATGCATTTTGGAGAGCACGTTTTTTCCTCGCACGATTGCCTTCATGAACAGGCTGGTTTTGCTCCTTTCTTCAGAGCCATTTGGACATCTTTGTTTCTCAAGCTGTACACTAAGGGGTTGAGAAGGGGTGTGAGTACTGTGTAGAGAAGTGAGAAAATCTTATTCAGATTGAGTGTTGTTCCTGATGCAGGTGTCATGTATACCACCACCATGGTGCCATAAAACACACTCACCACAATCAAGTGCGAGGAGCAGGTGGAAAAGGCTCTGTGTCTCCCTTTAGAAGTAGAAATTCTTAAGATGGAGGACAGAATGAAACCATAAGATAACAAGGTCCAAAGGAAAGGAGACAGGGATAGAAATGATGAAGCAAAGGCCACTTTCTCCACCATTACAGTGTCCGTACAGGAGAGTTTTACCAATGGGAAGAAGTCACAAAAGAAATCGTCAATGACATGGGGACCGCAGAAGGTTAATGTGGCAAGCAATACTAGCACAGCTCCCACAAAGAGAAAACCACCGATCCATGATCCGACAGCCAGCTTGACACAAGTTCTACTGTCCATACGTACTGAATATCTCAGGGGCCAACAAATGGCCAAGTAGCGGTCATAAGACATTATGGCCAAGAGGAAACATTCTACAGTGAGCAGGGCTCCAACAGCATAGAGTTGCACCACACAGGCAGTAAAGGAGATTGTGACACCCCCAGCTAACACCTCCCTCAGCAGTGGAGGGGCAATGCTGCTTGTATATCCAACATCCACACAGGATAAATGGCACAGGAAGAAGTACATTGGAGTATGAAGGCGTGGGCTGGTCTGGACGGCAAGTATCAGCAGCAGGTTGCCACACACTGTGACGACATAGAGGCTTAAGAAGAAAGCGAAAAGGGCCGTCCCGACTTCTTTCAGGTTTCCAAAGCCCAGCAAGACCACATAAGTGATCAAGGAGTTGTTTCCTCTTCGGTTGTCTTCCATCTGAGGACAACAGATAATAGAGCAAAATGAGTTAAAATTACTTATCTTCAGAGAAACTTGTTCTTGAATAACTAAGACCATGCTTACATAGTCCAGTAATCCCAATGGTGTTTCTTTTTTCCTAAATTACAACTTTTTCCAGATTTAAATTAGACCCTTAGATTTTTTAGTATTATGTTCTCCTTTCTACTCCTGTACCTCCTAGATGACTACAAGCAAGGCCAATTTGAATTAAGGCCACGGGAATTGGTCTGTTGTATATTTAATCTTTAAGGCTACTTATTTATGAACATCTTTCTACCTCTCTTAATCTCTTTATTTACAGTTTTCCTTGGTGAAACATATGTCTTTTTCTTTCACAGTTCTCCTTTACACGGTGCAAATGCAAACAAAACTGCTACCAAAATGATGAAGCTCATGAAAGTAACAATTAAATTTTGAAATAAGAATATGTAACATAGACTCTCTCTTATTTCATTTCCTTGCATTGTGTTTCTTTCTTTTGTCTTGACCAACGCTATCATCCTGTGACATGTGAGTAAAGCTAAAAGTCCCTTTAAAGGTGCATGTGGACAATGGTTCAATATGTTGAACCCAGTACCTAGTTTTATCTGGGAAGAAATTTCTTTTTTAGTAGTCTTTCAAATCCCTTATGCTTATTCTTTCTGAATATAAAAGAGTGAATCTCTGTTCAGCACATTTTAAACATAGTGACAGTAGATAAGCAAAAACTTGAGGAGCCAGTGACTTTAGAGATTGACTTGTGTCATATGTCTCTGATTATTTCCCTGGAGAAATCAATGTCTCTTCATCTATTCTCATATGTTCATCACAACTATCTGTTCTGATTCCCTTTCATAAATAAATTTGCATATGCATGGGTTTAAAGCCTATATTTATATAGAATCAACATCATTTGTCAGGCAGTTCCAAATATTCAATAGCTTATACACATATGATTTCAAAATCATTTTAACAGGGCAAATATTAAGAAAATGAGTGAGTGAGGAACATATCTTTTAGAACACTTATATATGATATTAATATAAACATTTCCAAGTAATGAAAATACTACTTTTCCATTTTTAGTCAAACAAGATGTGTAGGGTGGTGACCTCAAATTTTAAAAATTTACTTTAAAGTGTGTAAGAAAAATAGTGATAAAATGAGTAAAAGTATACAAAGAAACATACTCACTAGAGATATCGTAAAAGACATAACAACAATAATATAAATTGGGCTTCTAGTTTAAGAATAAAGAAAAGTAGAGCTGCACCCATTGAACCAATTTTGGCTCATCATGAGTCTGTAGGACAGAATAGACCTTCTCCCTAGGGTTCCAAGGCTGTTAATCTTTATGGGATCTGAGTCCTCTTTCTCTCATGGAGTAGCTATCAGATTCAAACTCCTGATTCTGCAGTTTACGAACAATGCATGACTCATTATACCTGAAAGGATCATGCAGGTAAGGCATAATGATGTTGTCCAGACAAAGAGAGTAACATACTATAAACCTAATAAAGGTGTAAAAGAGAAGTAATCACAAAGCAAGGATGAAGGGAAGGCTTTTTCATGAAACTACTTCCCCATCACTCAAGGTATTAAAAGAAAAAAAAAAAAGAAGAAAGGATTACATTTTAAACAATTAAAAGAGCATAAAATACACTAAAATATGGATAAAAATAAATCAACTGTATAATTATCAAAGATTCTCTAATAGAAAAAATGAATAAAATAAAAATTATTAACTAGTTTGCTTAATATTAATATTTAAAATATATTTGCATTACATTCTAATTTACTTAAGTAAAAACAAAATACTCTATCACTTGAAGTATAAAAAGAAGTTAAAGAAATCATAAGATTATAATCATACTCTGAAAAAATTATATATGTAAAAAAAATGCATTGCCATCTAGTCAATGCCCCCATATAGCGGCCCCATAGGAGAGGGTACACTGCCCCTGTAACTCCAAGATTTCAGCTGTTTAGCTGAGTAGAAAATGCGGTCTTTCTCCAGAGAAGCTGCTAGTGGTTTCACACTAAAGATTGTGAGGATCGCAGCCCAATGCTTAACTGCTATGCAAGCAAGGCTCCTGAATAAATTATATATTTAATAATATGTCATGATAAGAAAAATTATGACTAATGATGAGTTAAAAAAACGTGAGTTTTCAAGTCATATAGATGCATACATATGAGGGGTACCCCTCCAAAACCCTATTTGCCCTGGGCAGAGGAGAGCTTTCATAGTACGCATCCCCCGACCAACACCCACTTTGTGAACATGGAGCAACTCAGTCTGTTAGTGAACCCAGTGACACCTCCTGAGAAGGTTCTCTCTGGTCACAGTGAATTTTTTCACAAAAAGCAGTTTCACTTGAACCTCGTTTTTTTGTGATGACCAATTAAGAGGAGAGTGTGTGGCTGTGAAATTTTGTTTCCTGATCAGGAAAAACGCTACAGAAACTGTTGTGATGGTGAACACATCTTACAAGAATAGCCCTATGGGGAAAACACAAGTGTATGTGTGGTTTTCTCATTTCAAAAAAGGTGAAATGTCAACTGATGTGTGACACACCTCATTCTGGAGTCTGCCAACTTCCCAATGGACAAAATGTTGACTTCCAGTGCAACTGGAGTTCATTCCACCAGGCCAGACTATTAATCAAGCTTTCTATTTAGAGGTTCTGAAAATATTGCATAACAGTGTGAGACAAAAAAGGCCTGATTTGTGGCAGAAGGAGAACTGGTTTTGCTACTATGACAATGCACCAGCTCATGTAGCCATCTCAGTACTTCAGTTTTGGGAAAAAGACAGCCTGCCTCTCTTGCCCCATGCACCTTACTCACCTGACCATGCTCTGTGAGACTTCTTTTTACTTCTGTGAATGCAAAAGGACATGAAAGGACAGCAATTTGACAACGTAGATGAGATGAAGAAAAAATAATGGAGGTGATGTCACCAATCCAAACAGATGAGTTTGAAAAATGTTTCCAAGAATGGAATCTGATTGGACAAATGTATTAAGCATAACAGAGAGTACTTTAAAGGTGATGAGGTTGTTTTGTAAAAAAAATATTAATATATATAGTTGAAATTAAAAATCTCAGTTTCTTGGGGGGGGCCATTCATATGTAAATATATTTACATACATATATGTATATACACAAGTGAGCTTCAAAAATGTCATGGAAAATGAAAATTCCATGAACTCTTTGAACACTTTATAAACAAATAAATAATACTTGGATTTTAATATACTAGTATAAAACTCATAGTCCTCCTATAAATGGTTTCACTGGCCGTAAATCTTTAAAGCAATAGATTGCTTCATCTTTCTCCTGTGCAGTGGCTGGTGGCTTTGAACTGCTGAATTTGTGGTTAGCAATTCAACATTTACCTGACAAAACCACCAGTAGTACCCAGAATAATACTAGAATATTATCATTGGTATGCCAATATTTGAGTTAATAAAAATTAAGAAGGTATCAATATTTTAATAATGATATCTCTGACAGTAACACAATTGGTTTTAATTGATTGCAAGTTGCTTAATTAAACGCTTCCTAAAATATGCGTGTACTGTTTTTCATTAAAAGCATGCGATGAATTTTTTTACTATCACTTCTCATCTCTATATATCTCATATCATATTACCATGTGAAAAACACCCCAAATTTAAATACTTCTTCAGTTACTGAAAGCAAAATAAAAAAATGTGAATATATTTGTGGAAGAATTATTTTAAACATTATTTTAGTTTTAGTTCCTATCATTAGTTCAACTACTCAAAGATTCTCCTTGGTTTATAGTTTTGCATTTATTTTTATGAAAACATAGTCTTGTCTGAAAACTATCCCTGGTCTGAAAGCAAACATCTCAGCCACCTGCTTCCCTGGGCTGACCACAGATGGAAAACAAGCCAACCCCAACCACTCATTGCCAAGGAGTCATCTCTGACTCACAGTGACCTCATCGAACAAAAGCCAGCTGCTCCTATGGATTTCTGAGACTGTAAATCTTCATGGAATAGAAAGCCTCATCTCTCTGGGACCCACTAGTGGTTTCCAACTACTGGGTTTGTGCTTAACAGCCCAATGTGATAATTAGTACATTTATCCAAATTTTTGCTTTTTCACTATCTGCTTTGTTTTCCTCCATGAAAATAGCTTTTAGCCATTTAATTAAATGTCCATACCCTCTCCAACATGTGCCACCTATCACATTAATCTTGCACCAGCATGGGAACGCAGAGTTGTTTTTCAATATAAATTTCACATATCTATGTGCACATAGACTCGTGTGTGACTTTCAAGCTAAAGTGTGCACTTAAACTATATATCTACATAGACATATATTCCTTTTTCATGAAGCATCAAGTTTGTTCAACATAGAAACAAGATATATGCATCTTGGCATTTTGTGTATATTTATGAGTTGTACATAGAAAATGCTCAAAATGTTGCTTTGATGAATAGCTAATATCTGTTTTATAATCATGGCTTTTTGCTTACATTCCATGGAATTTTGAAATTCAAAAAGAGCGAAAGCCAAATTATAATGATTTGGTGAGATACAAAATAAGGAAGAAGGAATCTATAAATGTTCTTTATGAACTTATTTATTTCAATAGTAAAACAAGGTAAATTATTTTTCCCACAGATATCATCATGGAGTAGTGGTTACACGCTTAGCTGCAATCCAGGTGGTCAGCAGTTCGAAACCACCAACAGCTCTGTGGGAGAAAGACTGGGCTTTCTACTTCTGTAGTTATGTCTCGGAACCAATGTGGGTCACTATGAGTCATCATTGACTTAATGACAGTGAGTGTGTGTGTGTGTACAAGAACTCTTTGAAAATACAATAAAATAAATCTAAATTTATTTGTAATAAAGAGGATTTCTGAAATATACAAATAAAAATCAGCCACACTCTTCTGAATCTGGTTTATACCTTCTTCAATTTTTTGTTTACATGCTGATCCCACAGATCTGTCTCAGCCTTACTTCACTTCTCATTCCATATTAGGTTCTGAATTACTTCGTTCAATTAATTTATGAAAATAAATTAATAATTT